AATATCCTCGGGTGAGGATTAACCAAAAAGAAAATTTATTTTGAATCATTTTAAATTTAAAGAAGTTAGAGATAATACAGAGTTCCTTTATTTATTTTAAAAATATATTTTTATTGATATCAGTGGGAGAGAGAGAGAGACACATGAGTGATGAGAGAGAATCATTGATTGCCTTTTGCACACCCCCTACTGGGAGACTGAGCCTGCAACCCGGGCATGTGCCCTGTCCCGGAATCGAACGGCGAGCTCCTGGTTCATAGGTCCATGCTCAACCATTCAGCCATGCTGGCAGGGCTACGGAGTTCCTTTATATTCCTCACCCATTTTCTACATTTGGCCAAGTCTACCAATTTTGGTACATTACTATAAATTACACTACTCACCAGTTTTCCCACTAAAGTCAATATTCTGTCCCAAGATCCAATCCAGCATATACTATATTTAGACAAAGTTTTAAAAAGTGAAAATGCTTTAGCTAGAACTATAAGTTAATTAATTCTCCATGTGATAACTATATGACTGGAGGAGTTATTGAATATTATTTTTTTTCCTGTTACTGAGTTCTGTAGTTGGGATATAAATATAGAATGAGTGGTTACTGAAAGTCAAAAGAGATTCTAATTTTTAGAAAATTCTCATTTTTAGAAAATAATGTTGAGTTTCCATGAAGAGCAGGAAGTGTTGCCAGAAACTTTCCTTGCCAACTTCCCTTCTCTGATAAAGGTGGATATTCATAAAAAAGTAACTGACCCAAGTGTAGCCAAAAGCATGATGGCTTGCCTCCTATCTTCACTGAAGGCTAATGGTGAGTACATATTTGTGGAGTTGCTGGTGTTTGGGTTAGGTGGGGACAGGACTATATTTTAGGTTAAAAAGTGAATTATAGTGAACGTACATTCCATTCACCACCATTTATGATTTGGCTTCTGAATTATTGTGCAAGAATTGCATGAGTATTAATCATTGAAAAAGGCTTCTCTTTTACACAATGAATGCTTATTTTGAGCCTCAAGTAAACGAGAAGTGAACACCTGAGGTTATATTTATTTTGCCAGAAGACTCATAAATGATCGTTGAAAGTTAAATGAACCTTGGGGAGAAATTTCATTTAGGAATGCAATCACCAGTTTTTTTCAAGCTTTAGCCAAGCTTGAAAACTGAACCTTCAAAAATATGTGGCTTTACATAAGTATGAAGTCTTTTTCTGTGAAGGGCCAGTTAATAAGTATGCTAGGCTTTAAGGTCTGCATACAGTTTCTGTTGCAATGCTTTTTAAACGGCCTTTTAAAATTGTAAAAAACTATCTGTAATCTTTGGACAATACAAAAGTGGGCAGCTTTTGAGCCCTCATTAGAGGGTTGTTGATACATGAGAATGCACCTGTTGCATATTTGTATCATTTGAATCAGTGTTGTCCTTTTGTGGGATAATTTAAACAACTCTGCGTAATTCTTAGTGTTGTGCTTGGAACTTAAAATTAAAATGTTAAGCAGAGATATCCTTTGCTTTCAGGTCTCTTACAAACTCTTCCCCAAAAGGTTTTCCTTCTGGAGAAGAGTTTCACTTACAGTTGAATTTTTTCAATTGAGGTATATTTGACAGTTAAGAATTGTATATACTTATTGTACAATTTGATGATTTGGAATATATTTCGAAATAACCACATTCAAGCTAGTTAACATATCCATCATTTAAGATAGTTATCACTGCAGTATTTAATAATGATCATTATTAATATTCATTTAATATTAATACAAATTTTAAAAATTGTAGGCTAATAGACAAGTTCCCACTATGATTTGTTTGAAATATATTAAAAGAGTAGTCACAATTTATATCCACAATTCTACTTATTAATGTATTTTGATTATTTGTTTTATTTCTAGGCTCCCGGGGGGCTTTCTGTGAAGTGAGACCAGATGATAAAAGAATTCTGGAATTTTACAGCAAGTTAGGCTGTTTTGAAATTGCAAAAATGGAAGGATTTCCAAAGGATGTGGTTATACTTGGTCGAAGCCTGTGACATTTGACACTATGAACTGTCTGAAAGTCTCTTAACTTCACCTGGTGGGTGGTGGTGGGGGTCTTTATACAGTTCAGCCTCTGGAGCGGCCACAGATCAGCCGATTGGGATTGGAAACAAAGAAGACTATGTAAAACTCACGCATCATATTTTGAGACTACTCACTGGTTAGAAGATAGTACTTCTGCAAATCCTATATGAAATAGATATGTGGGCCCCTTTTTGGGTCTTGTGTTAGGTGTCAAGACCTCTTACATGGGCTTATAGGAAGGGGGTCTTCAATAAGTCTAGTCAGCACTGTTTTCTGCATTTCTCACCTTAGAGTAATCAAAATCATTTGTCATCCTCCTTGGCTTATTGAATGAAATGTCTCTTATTCTTTGGGGACATGGCAGAGATGAGAAAGATTTTAGTGGATTTCAGAGCCTTCAGGGTGGAAATTCCAAGTCGGATGGTTGTGGCATAGTATAAGCTGAATAAATGATTTCAATTTTGGGCAGTTATTCTGCTTTTTGTAAAGCTGTGGCCAATTGTCTCCTGTAGTGATGATTGGTTCAGGCATGTTGTGCTTCGTAGGGACAAATGTGCATTTGTTTGTGGCAAAAGCCTAAAAATGACAAGCTTGTAAATTTTTTGTATATAAACTAGCTGTGATCTGCCTACCTTTGTGTTTACCGGTTTTGTAATTTTTTTTCATTTTGAAAATGAAAGGTGTGATTCAGGATGGCACTTTGAATAATATAAATCAATGGAAAGTGAATTTTTCTTTTGTCTTTGGTTGGTTGTTTAGGCTTTTTTTTTTTTTAGAAGTTTTATTTTTAAAGTGCCTCCCACCTAAGCTAGGCCACAACCACTTTGGGTATAAGAGCCTAACTTCATAGGACTCAATCTGTTGCAAGTGCAGTCACTTCTAGAAATTAACCTCAATACAGGTCAGCATGTGTAATGTTAGTTTGACATCTGTCAAGTAGGGTTCAGGGACTGATTGGTCCCATTTGCCCTCAGATCAGTTGTCCTTTAATTTCAAGACCTGTTACTACTGGTTTTATTAAATCACAGCCTAATTCTTGCATGTTTGTATCGAATTTTTAAAAGAGACAAATAATGAGTATACTTTAATCAATGACTTAATGATTAATTTTTCCTTTAGCCACAGATTCTGAGAGCTTCATGTATTTTAATTTAGATTTGGTGTATTTAAGGGTTCTGAGCATGAGGCTAGCAGGTAATTTCTGCAGGATTCTTTTTTTCATTATGACTGGCTGACTTCTTCATAGATCCATAACAGTATTTTGTTATCAGCTTCCCTGTAGCTTTGTATCAGCTGATTAACTTTGAGCTGAGAAGGAAAGGGCAAGGAGAAGGAAACTTGAAACATACTTTTCTTGATAGGATTCCATCAGGATGGGCCTTGAGAGAGTCTTCAAGAGTGGTACCTAGAAGGGGTACCACTAGTGACTTCCAACCCAGGCCCATGAGTGGCACTGAATGGGTGAGATGAAGGGAGGAAAGGAAGGAGGCCTTCTCATTTTCAGGGTAGAAACCTCTAACTGATAGGATATAGTATGTTGGAAAGCTTGGACCACGTTTGAATTTTTAAGGGCTGAGGTGTGAAAGGAATATCTCTACAAGATAATGGTTTAAGTGGCTTAGTGTCACGGGTTTCTCTTTAAATACATTTTCTACACTAGTGAACAATTGTGGCATTTTATCTGGAGGATTTCAGGGCCAACCTCCTATGGAATCAAGATTTTTAGCGTTCGCTTGTGGCTTTTTCTTGGCTTTTAATAACTTTGGCTAGTCTTCTGGTCACAGATGCTAACTGTGAAACAGATGTCCAGGCCTATACATTCATCACTGTAGGATTGTAAAATGCTATGCTACCTTCTATGGTTGTGAATATTTATTAAGGTTGGAATGACATTACCTTGATTGTTTAGATCACAGCTCAGTTCCTGTAGAAAATGAACTGTAAATTATGTGAAGATCATGCAAGAGGCAAAATAAAACTTGAAGTGAATGTGTATGGTGGTGTACTGTGTAAACCTAATTTCTTTCTGCCTCCTACCTTTTCTCCTGCCCTTCATGCCTCACCTGCAAGCAAGTATTCCTCCTCCCTCTTCATAGCTGTTCCAAGTTAAGGACTGACTGTTGAAGGCAGTCCTCTCCTCCCATCTCCAGTAAAAGACCTCTCAGGTTTTCCCAAGGCAAGGCAAAAAATAAGAAAAGTAGACTGGCTCTTGGCCTAGCCACCCTTTTGCCAGTTTTAACTTGGGAGCAAGTCGTTTGAGTGAGTTCCTGCCACCCAACAGGATAAGGAACATGCTTTGTGTGGTTCTTTATTAAACGGTGACAGATGGGGAGAGTCGTCCAAATTATGAGACAGGAGTCCAAGGGGAAGGACGTTCTGGGATGATTTGGGAGGAGCTCGAAAGATTGCAGGAGTTAGTCCTGCTAGCAAGCGCCAGCCTCTGAAGCTCAATGAAGATAAGCCAGCTGGATAGTAAGCTGCAAGGTCGTTGGAGCTGGAAGCGTATCTAGGAGAGCGAGTGATGTGGGTACGAGATGCCTGGAGGTAAAATGTCACTTAAGGCTACTCACTCGGAGCAAATGCAAATATGAGCGCATTTCCTTTGCTTTTTATAAGAAAAATGCTGCCCTGAAACACCTCTGCTGGGGGAATTGGAAAGGTTTCCGTTTTTATATCTGGTTTCCCTTTGACCGTAAGTTTACCCCGGGTTGGGAGAGATGGAGACAGAGGGTGTGACGAGCTGGAGAACATGGAGGTAGGAGCTGCCCCGGAAAGCCTTGGTGGTTGTAAGGAGGGCGACGGGAGCATTAATCCCAAATCCACGCTTCCGTAGTCTCTTCTCGCAGCCGCGGGCTCCCGGGCGAGGCCGGGCGGGGAAGCCCGGGCCCAGCGCTTCCGGTCCCCGCCCAGGCGAGCGTCCCCTTTAATAGGCGGGGCGGCGGCGCCGCTGGGTTCCCCGGTACGTGTCGGGGGCGGGGTTCCCGGGCGCCCTCGCAGCATGGCCGCCGCGTTAGCGTCTTGGGGTCCGGAGAGCCGATCCCGGGCCGGGGGTGTCGGGGGGCTGCGGGCCCCAGCTCCGGTCACCATGGACAGTTTTTTCTTCGGTATTGAGGAAGGAGGGGTGAGGGTCGTCCTGGGGCGGGGAGAGGAAGGGGTGCAGGGGGTGCCCGGCATCGGTGGGGACGGAGGGGGCTCGCACGCGGCTGCTGGAGCGGAAGTGGGGGCCGACCCCTGCCCAGGTGTGCGGGGCGGGCTCAGGGCTGAGCGCCCAGGTGTCCGGAGAAGTGGGCGTGTAAATGGTGGTCGGTCAGTCCATGGCCACACGTGATGGAGTTTGGGGAAGCGGCCCCCCACCCCTCACAATCATGCACACTCACGCCATTATCTCTTCCAGGCTGCGAGCTTTCCGGCCACACCCGCTCTTTCACCTTCAAGGTAGAGGAAGAGGATGATGCGGAGCACGTGCTGGCTTTGACCATGGTGAGGGGTGCGGAGTGGGGGTGGTGGTGGATAGCTTGACCTGAGCCACTGGTGGGCCGCTGCCCGTAGCCCGCCCCCAACCTCTTTAGGGGGAGTCACCTCTGCCCAAACCCCCAATCGCCTGCTCCCTTGGCCAGGTATTCAGAGAGACCCCTGAAGTTGAGCAAATTCTAGGGTAGATGCCTCCACTGTGTTGTCACCACCTGCTTCGGGAGGCCCCAAAGTCTTGTGTACCCTTCCCAGCTCTGCCTCACCGAGGGGGCCAAAGATGAGTGTAATGTGGTAGAAGTTGTGGCCCGTAGTCATGACCACCAGGAGATTGCAGTCCCCGTGGCCAACCTCAGGCTGTCCTGCCAGCCCATGGTGAGTTCCCTGGCCGTGCCTGGGGAGGGGGAAGGGCGGGAGGGGGGAGGAGGGAAGGACTGGGCTAGACCTTCCTCCTTGTCTTTCTCCCAGCTCAGTTTGGATGACTTCCAGCTTCAACCTCCTGTCACCTTCCGCCTGAAGTCAGGTTCTGGTCCTGTGCGGATCACTGGGCGGCACCAGATTGGTGAGAGTCCTCTCCTTTGCCGTCAGTGGACTCTCCATCAGGTCTCCCCTCCCCGTTTTGGCTCCTCCTGACTCCACACTCTTGCCCCATCCCAGCCTTATCTCCCAGTGTAGCTGCCATACAGGTTCTGCATGATGTGTCCTTCACTTTCTGTCCTACGCATGCCTACCTCCTTCATGGAACCTGTCTCAGCTTCTCCAGCTCCAGTGATGTGTAACCCTTTGGCTCTTTGTCACCCAGTTTAGTATCTGAGGTTCTTCCCATCTATTTTTTTTAAAATATATATTTTTTTATTTTCAGAGAAGGAGAGAGAGGTAGAAACATCAGTGATGAGAGAGAATCATTGATCAGCTCCCTCCTGCACACCCCACACTGGGGATTGAGCCCGCAACCCGGGCATGTGCCCTTGACTGGAATTGAACCCGGGACCCTTCAGTCCGCAGGTGGATGCTCTATCCACTGAGCCAAACTGGCTAGTGCGGTTGTTCCCATCTAGACTAAGCGCTGGGAGTTCAGGGCCCTGCCTAGCACCACAGTGCATGAATGAATAACATAATATGAAGGAGACCTGGCTTTAACCATCTCCCTTCCTTTTACTGCTTGTGTGTACACCAGTTACTGTAAGCAGTGTTTCTGAGGATGAAGAGAGCGAAGAAGAGGGGAGTGAGGAGAATGAGGAAGCTGAATTGTGCCCCATTCTGCCTGCTAAGAAACAGAGGGGCAGGCCCTAGCCCTCCTTGGTGAGTGGGAGGGCAGGGTGCCCAGCAGGGTCTGGGAGGGCAGGAGGAGCAGATGAGGGCCTAGATGCTGATCCCTTCTTTGCTCTCCTCAGGTCAGCTAGCTGCCTGCCATACATGCCATACACCACGTTGCTGTACACGTATCAAGAATTTTAAATGTCTTCTTCATTGAAGAGGGGGGTTGGGATGGGGTCTTGGGCTGGTGCTAGGAGAAAGGGGGTCCCATTCTCCATAGGGTCCTGATGTTCTAATTCTGTACCATGCCTGGGGCTTCCCTTTCTCCAGGAGTGGAACTCTGAACTGTCCTGACCCTCTCTCCCTACTGCCTTTGAGGTTGGAGGTCAGCATTTGAAGCTCAGGACTACATATTTTAAACACTTTTTACATTTTTGGATAAAGGATTAAATAAAGTGGTGTAGAGTTTTTTTGCAACTCATTGTGTGGCTTCTCTCCCTGCTGGGCTGGCATTCCCCTAGGGACCACCAGGTGGCACTGTGGCAGCACTGAGGGTGGCCCCAAGCCTGGGGGAGGGTGAAGAAATGTGGGATCCTGTTATCCCTAGGCCAGGCCTAGGCCCAAACTGCCTAGCTAGAAGAGGACCTCCCAACACCAAACCCATTTCCAGTTCCTACAGGTGGGGGAGGGCCATCCCAGGAGGTTATCAGCATCCAAACAAGGGGTCTGGGCCTCTGTCAGCACTCAGGCTGATGGGCAGGGGGGCAGATAAGGGGGTTTAAGCAGCCCGAGGAATGTGCATCTCTAGCCCCATGAGGGGACTCAGGGTAGGGAGGAGGCCAGTCTTTGCTCCTCCTTTCAGCTGTGCAGACTGTCTCCGAGCTGATCTGGGCCCTTAGAAACCTGATTCCAGGGACCAGATGGAGGGGGTTGGCCAGATTGGGTGACAGGGAAACCAGAATCCTGGTGGCCTGGCATATGGGGGCAGAGAGGAGCCCTTGGGATTCAGCCTCCTAGGTTAAGGGGTTTCTGCGCGCGCGCACACACACACACACACTCACACACACACCTCCGCCTGATCTAGGGGCTCTGGTGCCTGGAATCACTTGGTTCTGGGGCTTGGCTGCTGCTGTGCCCTGAAGAGAAAGGGATCTACTTGATGTGATGTGTTGTCTATGTGACCGACTCTGGGGTCAGCAGTTCAGCAGCTGTGTTGAAGGGGTGGGGGTGTCTCAATGCCAACAAACAAACAAACAAATAAAAGGTTCCCTCCTGAGATAGCCTGGGGCCAGACATGCTGAGGATGGACAGAAAACAGTGCCTGGTGGGGCCAGGCCCTCTCCCTCCCACAGATGAGTGCGCAAGTAGGAGGGGTCCCTAGATAACCTGAAGGGGCTGGTAGGGGCCAGCTGAGGTAAGCTTTGGAGAGAATGTCTCTGGAAAGCACTCCCTCCTCAACACATCCCCTAGAAGAGGTTCCCTCCTCTTTGTGGTGAGGAGCGAAGAGGCCCAGTTTACAACTTCCCTTTTTCCTTAAATTGAAGATAACGGAAGATGATCCCTCTGTTTTGTAGTGATCAGGGTCGCAGGCCCCCTTCTCCTCGCCAAGAGGACTTTCCTGAGGAGCTTCTACCAGGAACCACGGTGGGATGGGGCAGCCAGGCTTGAAACCAGTCACCTTCCCACAGCAGGGAGTAGCGGTGGTTCTCAACCTTGGCTGCACATTAGAATCACATGGGAACCTTTAAAATCCTGATTTCTGGGCCTCATCCTCCGGAAATTCTGTTTCTTTGGGGCCACAACATTAGTAACAAAGCAACAGAATTTCCGGAGGATGAGGCCCAGAAATCAGGATTTTAAAAAGATTCCCAGGTGATTCTAATGTGCAGCCAAGGTTGAGAACCGCTGGAGTAGAGGGATGGAGAGGGAGAAGCTGGCGCCCTCTGGTGGGCGAGGGTGAAACAACCGGTGGCTGTGTCGCTCCCCCACGTCGCCTCTTTAGGGGCTTGAGGCTTGCTGGGGCCCACGTGCCCCGCAAGTGGTCTGGGCCACCGAAGTTTGGGCGGAAGGCGAGGGGATAAGTTACTAAAACTGAATTAATTCGTTTGTTCATCCATCATTCACTGGAAGGGCTCCTGTTAGAGCTCTTCCCTACCTCTCACTTGCAGCCTCCAAAGCCCTTGGCACGTGCACGGTTGGAGGCGCGGGAGACCCGCTGGACGCTGGGAAAAGTAATCTCTCGGGGCTCGGTAGGGGGGAAGGCCGACCCAGCTACCCCCTGCGCACGGCTCAGCTCAAATATTTACCTCCAGCGACGCCGCTGATGGCTCATTGTATGCCTTGACTTTTGTCTTGGTGGGTCCCCTCCTGGCTGCTGCCCTCAGTGGGGGCCCAATCCACATCTGCCCCTCGGTCCTGAAGTTTCCCAGCCTGACCGGGCGCCCCGCGGATAGAACTAGGAATTCATTTTTCTCCCTCCTCGCCCCCGTCTCTCCTCGATTCCCATTCCTGCACCCTCAGCGCACAGTAGGAGCGCTGCCAATTCACTCGGCCACAGAGCGCAGAGGGGTGAAGGCGCACACCGGGTCTGCAGACCGCTGGGGGAAAGGCAGGCCTGCCTTTGGTGCGGAGACGGGGAACGACTCCCAGACGGAGCCCGAAGTGCTTAAGGCGGTCTCGACGATTTGCATTTGAAGGGTCGGCGGAGAGTCCGCGGCGCTTTGAACGCGGGCGCAGGAGGCGCGCGGTGGAGCGAGCGCCAGTCCCGGCGGTCTGCGCAAGCTGGGGGGGGATTTGAGGGGCCAGAGGTGGGCCCGGGCGAGGGATGCGTTTGGAAAGAGGCTGAAGGTGTGTGTTTGGGTACCCGCGAGGGTGTGTTTGCGGAGAGAAGCTGTGTTGGTGAGGAGTGTGTGTTTGTGTTTATAAGAGGAGAGAGAGAGAGAGAGAGAGAGAGAGAGAGGGAGTATTTGTGTTTGCGAAGTGTGGGGGCGGCCGGGAAAGGTGGCCGGGCTGTCACTCAGCCATCAGGTTGACAGGCGCTCCCTCATCAGGGCCAGGGAGCTCTGATTGCAGATTCAAGGAAACAAAATAGCAATTGTAATTACGGGGCTTTGATAAGATAAAGGAGCGGGCGAGCTGGCTGGGAGGCTAGCAAGGGAGTGAGGGAGGGAGCGAGCAGCCTGCTGGGGCCCCTGAGGAGTATTTGCATCTGTCACTCACAGAGTGTGCCCAGGCTGTACCTGGGGCCTGGTTAGGGTGTGTCCCCATCTGCACCCTCTAGAGACACAGGCTTTTGGGGAGATGAGAAGAATCCCCCCAAACTGAAGAGGATCAAGTTCAGGGGAAGTTCTCCAAATGTAAAGGAATTCTGGTCCTGTAGAGGCAGGCCCTTTGGTAGAGGTTAAGGAGCAGGACTAAAACCCTGACCTCCACACGTTTAGGCCCCAGATGCCCATCTTCTCTGGGGAGAGAGAGGAGGGTGGGTTAAGATCACAGAGGTTCCGCCCAGGGCCTTCAGAACCTTCTGGGGACTCCAGAACCTGGTTGGACCCTGATCGGAGCCAGAAGCTTTGGCTTTCACCCCCACTCCAGGAAAGGCTGGTGCCCAGAGTGACTCTGGTTGTGACTCCAGGACTATATACAACACACTAAGGGTAGGCTGGATGCCGGGGTCCTGCTCCCTGTTCTCATCAGACTGTTTTCAGAGGCCTGGTCCCTGGTATGGAGAAGGCCCTTCCCATCCTCTGCTCTCCATCTCTCCACTCATTCATTCATTCATTCATTCATGTATGCAAATAAACCTTTTCAAGGGCCTACTATGTACAGGCATGAGGTTAAGATGGTGAGTATCCCGCCTGCTTGAAGCAGTGCAGCTGGGGAGGTAGACACTCAACAGGTGTCCCTCAGACCTCTAACACGGAGGAGCACAGTAAAGAAAAAGGGAACGTCTGGGCTGTGGGCACTGGAGCCCACCTCACCGGCCTCCCCACCCCCCACCCATGCGACCATCTCCCAGTGGGTTTAGCAAATAAATGGTTGTGTTTATGATTATTATCTGTTGGGCCAAGGGGTGAAGGCAAGTCTCCCTGGGGAAGCAGCCCATGGGCTGAGGTCTAAATGCTTAGCCAGTTTCACCATTACTCGTTCATTGAATACGAACTGCAGAACAACCCTGCCCAGCTCTGTGCCATGAGCTGCCAGTTCCGAGCTAAGAAGACATGGTCCTTGCCTGGAGGCCTGCCTGGGCAAGAGCCAGCGGAGTGAACAGACTCCTGGAGGGAGTAACAGGTGGGCCAGGAAGTCCACTCCTCTGAGGAGGGTTGAGATCTTGGGACAAGTCCTCTGTCCCATGTGTACACTGCTCAGGGCTAGCGTTATGGCTGGCAGTGGGGGAAGGTAGGACACAGAGAAAGGAGAGGTAGGCAGAACCTGGCTGTCTGCTGGAAAAAGGCCTGCGTTCTGCCTCCGGCCTAATGGCTTCCCGAGACCACCCATCTCCTCCAGCCCAATCCCCAAGGACACGAAGGGCCTGGGGGGCCGGGAGGTGTGGTCAGAGGCAGCAGCTGGGCTGGGCATCAGCGACTCCACCTGCTGCTTAGAAGTGCCCATCCCAGGGCACCTCTGCCCACCAGCTGCTCCCAGAGAAGCACTATGGCTCCCGAGCTCCCTCTCCCCTCCACCTGGGAGGTGCGGTGGTGAAGCCAGGAGGGTCTGGGAAAGCTTAGACAAGCCCATACCCTCTCCTTCGGCACTTCCCCCACCCCAGTTGACACAGAGCACCGGTCCCTGTCCAGTACACAGTAGGTGTGAAGATACCTCAAGTGCACAAATGATGAGACTCTGAGAGAGAAAATCGGGGGACCTGGATGAAGGCTCTTCCCCAGGAAAAGCAGCTGACAGTAGTTATTTTTGTCCCATCAGCTGGCTGCTTTGGGGGTTGGCAGGGACTGGGGGGTCCTTGCCAGGGACTTCTGGGCTCCCTCACACAGGTGGTTCCTAGTTCCTCCCAAGTCTAGGCGGGCGTGTGTGTTTGTATGGGGTGGGGGTGGAGGACAGGGGCACCGGGGCGGGAGGTGATGGTGATAATGGGGGCGGAGGGGAGAAGGAGAGATTCTCTCTCTCTGGGCTTCTTGGAGCCTGAAGGAGCCGGGAGAGACAGGCCAGGCGAGGTATCAGCAGGAGGATGGGGCTTGATTCCCTGTCGCACACGCACCGCCGGAGAGCCGAGTTCACAGCCCTTCGGTCCAGCGTCAGCGGCCACTTCCCAGGGGCAGGACCAGCAGGAGCGCACAGTAGGTGGCTCAATAACCGGTCGCACAGCCTGGGGCGAGAGTGCACCGGGCCCCACGGTGGAGCCCAGACACCTTCCCACTCAGCCGCACCGGCGGTCCGGGAAGCCCCTGCGGAGGGTCCGGGGACCCCACGGAGCGGGCGCCCGAGGCACCCCCATCCCCGCGTGTCCAAACCTCAAGAGCGCGCGAGGGGACAGGCCCCGGATGGGGGAGAGGCGCCCACCCCGGTGGCCCACACCCCTCCGGCGGGTCCCCAGACCATTCACCCGGCCCCCATCCGCAACTCCACACTCTCTGGCTGACCCCACCTAAATATAGGTGGCCTATTTAGACTATGGTTACTATATGGGACGCGTGACCGGAACTTGCAATCGGTTAACATATTCTTTCCCCTACACAAAAAAAAAAATACTTGGACTCCCAAAACTTACTCCCATGCTGCATTGGGCCAGACAGAAAACTACAACTCCCTCAAACAGTTGTTCGCTTGCCTTTACAAAATCTCGGATGTACCTCCCCTCACCCATCTCCCGTGAGGGGAGGCTGGACAACGAACCAAGGCCCTTTAAATTGTCATGGGAATACCCCAC